GGTTCCGATTTTCGAGAGCATCCCTTATCGCTTTGGATCTTATATTTTGCCCTGTGTGTTTTTATTTATATGTATGAGCATTCCACTTGTGTATCATGCACTGTGTCAAGTGAGCATATTACTGTTTATCCCGCGAACCATGACAAGGATGTGTCGTGATAAACATTATATAAACGTAGTTATTTTTTTGCCTACTATTTACCCTTTTCGCATTTTCAAATATCCGGCCAGGTTTTTTGTTTTGAAATAAAGTTCAAGCCTCTGCTATCTAGAAGGGTCTCGAAGTCCACTAATGTATTGTTAAACTATGACGCATTGAAATGAAGCTAATATGGCGTTCCTATTCTGCATATCAACGAGAGTTGGGAATCTTTATACGCACAGTCTTTATTACACCGAAAAGCTCCGTGTTTCGAAATAATGAGCTCTGCATTTTTTTTTTTTTAATGCAATTCGCGACCGGACATAATCGTGAATCGTTTATATATGCAATACTAGACAACCAATATCGACTTAAGCCGTCACCTTTTGACGACTTCAATTACATATATATATATATATGTATTGCTAATGTTACTTATACACAATGCCCGAAACGGGGACGGGTTCAAGGGAAAAATTCGCAGACAATCTAGCGTAACACCTACATTTCTTTGCTACGACACCGACGAATCGGACAGGTGGTTACAGAGCATCGAAATTCGTGGACCACAAGAGCTCGACGCTTGATCTATAGGCGTTGCGAATTCGACTCGGCAGACCATATTGTCGAAACACAGAATAACTAACAGTTAAAATAAAGCCTAAAGAAACACCGAAAAACAAGAAAATAAACTCTAATCATTAATAACACGTCCTCCTGATATGGTACGACCAGTTTGGCTGACAATGGTTGTTCTTTCGGGGCAACGGACCTTCGGAGTTGGGGCAGATCAACGAAGGAAAAAGCGAATCGAGAACTTCTCTACTCCATGTCCGCCTATGGTTAATTGTAAATGGCTGAAGCAAGGCACGCTCTACGAACAAAAAGCACATTGACAATAATAAGTACAAAGTATAAAATAAAAGCAGGGAGAAACTCGGACAAAACAGGAGGCTTTTTGCCCAGCGTTCAATCGGGCGCGAACTCTTCGTACTTAACAGCCACTTCTATGACAGTCGCTAAACTGGAAACAACTTTTAAATAATATGTGTGCGTCACGTTGATTGATGATTACCGCAGTGTCTATAATAGATATACTGCATGCATGGGGACATGACTGGGGACGGTTTCCAGTTGAGTAGGTCATTGCGAAAGCGGATGACAAACAAAAATCATCCAAAAAAAGACAAGAACCATTGATTGGACTAAGTGATGTCAGCGAAACGTATCGTAAAGGAGCACAGAAGATGCCAAGCTTATAGCAAGAACGACAGCAGTATTGCGGTAATTGTTGATGATCATAGCCTAAATATATATTTACGACGCGCTACCTGCTCACCTAAGCACAGTCCCTTCACAACGCTGTTTAGAGACTCCAGATATGGCCAATATAGAATATAGTTGATTTCTTCCGAAAGTTCATCTTATCACCCGTTCCAAGTATACACTATTTCATATATATATATATATATATATATATATATATATATATATATATATACATTGAAAGCAACAGTCTGATTCCTTCCAAGCAATGAGGTCGCAGCACATAGCTTTTGACAGCTATTTAAAGAAAAAAATCAGTAGTAGGAACCCCCCAGTGTGTATCAAGGGCAGGGACGTACTAATACTGGCCAATGACTAGCACCTTGTGGAAATTGCTCCTCTAAGGGACATAAGTGCTATCGCTTACCCACATTAAAAAAGCATTCCGTCTAAACAACAATATCACTTACGAGTTGTAAAATAATACGAACGGCCACTGCAAATTCAGTCAAACTACTAAAGGTTATAAGGGTCGTAACCGTGGGTTGTAACAGTTGGCTTTTGTCCCCAGCGGCCTTATTACAAGGATGTGGCCGAAGACTAGTGCTTTTCTATGCAGACATAACCTGTCATCACGGTATCCGAAGTATTCTTTGTCAAAAATAGGCTGGTTTATTTCATAATCTACTACGACCTCTAGAGAGTAAAGTTGTTTTACATTATCACATCAAATCAATGAACGACTGCAATGTTGCACTGCACCAGCACTGTATAAACAGAGTAATAAAAACTAAGATCATTATTAGACTAGTGCGTATGTTGCATCGCGGTAGCCTTTCGTTCTAACCTTGAATCCAGATGCGAGAACGTGCCAGCCAAGGAAGCAGTCACAAGGTACTGTTCCGACCATAAAGGGTTTGCTAACTTGCCTTGTCGTATCCAAATGTTTACGCTGGTGAACGATAGGCGACCCTAAATAGACGCCATTCTCATTGTCCTAGTGGCGCAATAGGTTACGCCATGAATACAGGATTAGTTCTTCATCCGTATGCTCTCGCATCGGTGTTGTCCTTGTCTGCTGCAACTGTTGCTACGATGCACATTCAAAGCAGCTGACGCGTTCGTATGGATACAGGTATGGGGTTCGCCGCGTTTCCTGTACGGGTAGATATTTTTAGGGGTGGTCGAATTTAAGCTAGTGATAGGGTAGCGGCGGGGGGATGGGGCCGTGCTGGTATAGAAAAGGGCGCCCCATCTCGAAGGTGATGTCAGACACACTACCATGTGGGGCAGAAGCCTCGTATTGACACGAAGACCACATCAGCAAGCATGGTAAATATATACACACATAAATCCAAAACTAGATTGACCCTTAAGCACGCTTCTATAGAAAATCAATCGCCTCGGTATGCAAAACGAAGTATGCAGCAAAAGCTTTTTCATTGGTACTTTACATTAGGCTACGTCCGCTGCTTTTCAGCCAACTCGTGTGTGTATTGCGAATCTTCCAAGATACGCCAGACTATCGAAGGCGTTCGGAATATTAAAAAATGTATATGCAAATCAGAAATGTTAACTTATGTCTCCTTGTACAATAAGTTCTTATTTGGTCATGTTGTCAACTTTGTTCAATTTTTGAGATAACTGTGTTGTAAATTTCCACAAGAAGATGAAGGAGCTATCTCCAAGGGATACACTGCATACATACTAGAACTTGTCGTGTATAGGACACCTTGTACTTGAAAAGTGGCAAATCATAGGGTTCAATGTAGACCCTGGAAACGATAACTTATGACAAACTCAGGGAAAATATAGAACTGCACATACAGTCATAAAGCTGGATTCAGATAGATTTTTTTTTTATTTCGTATGAGATTTAGTAAAAATGTCTAGCAGACTTCAATTTGACCCGTAGCTTCTTGCTCTGTATAGTTAATACATAGAGGAATCCGCGCGCAATATAAAAGTTGAGCACTATTAAACTTAAGTTAACCGCTATGTCCTCTTTAAAGAAAGGATATTGCAGCACAACAATCAGTCAGTCCTTTTGCCACTGAAGTGTTTCATGAAGCGTTCCGTGCGCTTCCACTATTCTCTGCCAAGAATCCTCAGACACATTTGAATACTGATGAAATAAACGTTTGCCATGGTGCTAATATCTCTGAAACCTAATATATATTTATCTAAGATCCGCATGTTTCATCGGTATTTAATCAGCGAGGAGGCAAAGCGTCCAGTAAAGTAAATGGTGTAATACAGGGGGTGAAAAAAATAATTCCCCTCCCTGTTTGACAAACGCATTACAATATCGTCGTTGGTCACGCTGACACAACTTCAACGATGACCAAGGCGTACGCTGTGTACTTCAGCAGTTGAAGTGTCATGTCCTCAACTAACCCGCTCTCGTATATTCTAACCAGTCAAAAGCAGGAAACACCAAAAAATTTACGAGGCAGGAATAAATCTATCTGGCTCCACTCGAAGTTCTCTCGAGTGAATTGCATACGCATAACAGGCGAGAATAATATTCTTACTTTTTGTGGTAGGCTGGCCACGAAACGATAAGCAGAGTCAAGTCATTGGAAAGCTATCAAACCGACCCCTCAGTGAAACAGCTGTGATCTCGCTTGGTCTTCCACGGGTGTGGCCCCGCACATATTTGTTCAAATAGTGCCAGCTGTGGTAATATTAACTGAAATCGCTTGGAGAAGTTACAATATGTTGTTACATAGCCCCGGCCAGGACAGTGCAGTCCTGATGCACCAATACAATGTCATCGGTAAGCGTTTCCGACCACCATCGTTACATCGATAATAGGATCAACGGCAACATAAAAGCTAGCAATGCTGATGCTGCCACGTTCGTTGCAGATCGTCCACCCTTTGTCAGTCTATATTAATTTGTGAAACGCGCGCGCTATTGACGGCGACTGACTGTCTAAAGCCGCAGTTAGCTAATAACGAAATCGAACGGTAGTGCAGGGAACAGTGAGCGACAAACAGATGACGGCCAGATTTCCAAGCGTCGACGTACGACGTCTACTAAGTACTCATTGCGCTGGAACTTCGACTGTCGAAGCGGATCCATCACAAAAAAATAGTCCCCCGTCGCGGCGGTTCCCGCAATACGATAATAACATCGACGACACAGGCAGACAGTGCAGCATGCACAAAAAATGGTCAGCTGGTTAAGCAAAAATTAGCCGATCCGCCAATAAATACAACGTGAACATAAACGTTAATTTACAACGATCCACCATCAGCGATCTTTATGTGATAAAGTTCTTTGCGTTGACTTACTACGCCTAAAGAGAACTGTAAGGATAGTGGTGAAGGGGTCATGACACACAATAAACAGTTTTCATGCTTCAAACCTTCTCCTGCTTCCCATCTAGTTTCCACAAGTTGAATCGCTTCGGGGAGCTACTTCGAGTCCTGCTCGCAGTCCGTAGCCGAAGGAAGGTATCTTCTTAATTGCCACTTGTTTGTCTTCGGACTCCGACATGTGAAGCTATCTGTTACAGAACGCTATGGAACATTAAATAATATCTGATTAAAGGACGACGATCGCGATCTGAATGAATGCCACTTACCGCGAACAGAAAGTTGAACACGAACAATAACGTTTTAATGCAAGCGAGTCCGCAACTCTGCACCATGTTGAAGTTGCTTTTGAGCGCTATACTATTTGTACGATATAACTGTAGTGGTAAGCCGCCGTGTCGATCGTTCTATTTTCTACAAAGCGTTTGCACTTCTAACGACTACTATTATACAGAAATGTTTGCCTACCCACAGATATGGATACTGTTGTTGCGCAGCCCCTATTTCCAGTCTTCACTCCTTCAGTCACCTCATATCAGAGCGCACTTATCGTGGTTATACTGGGCAGCGACAACAGCCTGGGTAGGAAGTCTCGTAAACACCAAGCTACACCGTAAGCATCACAGAAACAATCCAAGCGGCAACCGGTGATACACTCTATAATTCGTCTATATTGGCCTGTTCCGTTGTCACTCTCATTGACTGGTCAGATAATCGCCAACACAGATCTTCCTTGCGTCATGTCGACAGCACTTGCGGATACTCGCAACGGTAACAAATCGAATTAAACAAAGGGCAGTGAAGCAAGCAATCGAATCGAGATCAACTGGAGACAACTGAGATGGCGCTACCAGACAGCGACTAACTTGACGCAATTTATTTAAGGGAAATCCAAGACAGGAAAAAATAAAACTGGCCAGTGCGATTGTTGTTCAACTACAGTTGCGAGAGCAAAATTCTATATGCGCTGGTCAAAGCGACGGCAAAAAGCAGTCCCAATCCCGATTTGACGGAATCTAACAACTCCGCTATTCCGGCTAGCGAAGTGCTGTTTGTTAACGAGTGATGCTGAAGCCACGGGTGCCGTCACCGCCACTACAGCGATGTCATAGTGGGCGAGGAGGAGTCAATCGTGGAGAGGAGGCTCCGTGTGGCGGGAAAGAGAAAGAAGACTCAGCGCAGGGGGCCAGTGTGGATAAATAGATACAAATATAGACTGATCGTAGAACAGATGGGAAATTCACTTGGCACAACCAACTGGTGCAACAATGGAATAGTAAGAGGAACAGGATAAAAGTGAGAGTAGGTTTGCCGGCTTATGTACGGATCAGAGATGATAATATTGAGCCACGGAGGAAGAGTTGATTCTGGAAGTCTATTTGTGTAAGGAGTTAGAGAAAGCAAAGGGCCCGACGATTCACCACTTTTTGTCGTGCGGATCTCGCTAAGCACGAACTACGGGAGCTAAGCACAACCTAAACGCGGATCCAATTGGCCTTGAAAACGGCTTGAAAAATGCTGGATCTAAGAGAAATATCTTTAATACGTCGGAACGATTTTCGGAAACTTTCGAACTGCTAAAACAAAGAGTGTCTTTGTGTGAATCTCAAGCTTCACAAGATGCGCTAAAATATCATTACCTTGTCATTACATTTGAGCTAACGGTTAAACTAGCTATCCGAAGGTCGTTCAACGAATCTAAATACATATACTCAATATACCATGTTCTGTAGGTATCAACATCATCAGCTCATTGGACTACCTTTTACCAGTGGTGCTTGAGATTTTACCAATGTCTATAGACACTCGTGGCAATGTTCGGAGGCACGAAGAGCCTCTGGCGTATCTTTTTTACATAGTTCTCGATCATAAATGTTTCGAGCTTTTCGTCATTGCATTCAATGATGCCAAATGTGTTTACAATCGGTTCCGAAGTAGAACTCTTGCGTTCAAATTGAAGTTGTCAGGCAAATAGGACTAGATCTTGCTGGAAACATTTTGCTTTTCGGGACCAGCGCCGACAACTGATAAACCATTTTTGTATTGCAGAGCATCTTCGCGTCTGCCGGCCCCGGAGACTCTCGCTATATTTTAAAGTAGATTGTTGCAGATACCAATCTAATGTAAGCGGCCTGTTATGCGACGCTCTTACTCATCTCCGGTGCCGAAGAAGCGTGTTGAAGATTGCTGGCTTCAGTCTCGGCGTGGGCAAACAACCAAACGCACCTAGGCAAACGTAAAGTGAAGTTAAATCTACAGCAATTGCTGTATCTCAAAGAGATCACTGCGTGTTTCGGGTAAAGTGCTTCGTGAAAGCCCATATTTGCGGCTCAACTCTGGCTGCAAGTTTTTTTGCACGCAGGACCCGAATCGGCGCACGTGCATATCTACGCACAAAGTGTCACCAAAGCAAGTTAATGCTGTGATTCAAGTAGTGCGTAATCCGCGATTAGTAAATGCGATTAACGATACAAGCAAAACACTCAGACGTCCGGCCAGCTTAAAATCGGGTCCATTTGGCTGGGCGACATATCTACGGTATGCCACCTATGGCGGATGCAAACAACCATAGAGCAGGCAGGCCACTATTGAATATCAACCGGCAATGGATGATCTAATCGACTGATTGATCAATAGATTCAGTGCCCCCAGGGCATCGTTTAATTACATTACACAATTAGTAAATAGAGTCAGACTGACTTTTGTTTGTAGCTTGTAGCTTATTAGCTGGACTGCCAGTTATTGTCATTTATCGCGTCAGAAAGCCGACGATTATTTCCAGCACCAAGCAATGGTCTTGATCCTAGATCAACTCATGCGGCTTTGAACTTAAAGCGTCAGCCCCAGTATCTGCGTGTTAGTATTGGGGGCATGTAGGGACATTGGTTCGAAGACGGACACAGACACACTTTTATTTCGGGCTGAGGCAAGCCGTTTGTTCGAACGTCTGACGACGGTGATGGACTAAGGCTCGAAATATTTCGTTTACTCTGTCAATGGGTTACTACTGCACTACTGGCGTCAAGTCAGTAGTGCAGTACTACTGATTCATCTCGAATTAACAGAGCGCTTTATTCAAATAGAGGATTAAAACGAGTACACAGTTATTTAAGTTACTCTATTCGATTTGACCACCATTTTCGGTGATCTTGAAGCTGCTCTCACATTGTTAAAATAACTCAGAATCGCTTTATAAAAACGATACATTTTAACGAATTTATCGATTTTCAGCGTAATACCTAAAATTATGCAGATCTGCCCAGCTACTCGAACCGCGATATTCTTAGAGGGAAGACCTAAAGGGAAAAGGAAGAGAAAATCGTTAGTGGAAATAATTGTCAAGAGTATCATAGGCAAGCCTAGCTCACAATGTTACAAACAACGTTACAATTGCCCTTTAACATCATGCTTGTTTTTAATAATCAGACAAGCATCGTGATTTTGGTGTTTTGGTCACTTTTTTCTTTGTTGAGCTCCTCCTATTTCTACGATTCTTATCGGCGTGTATATATATATATATATATATATATATACATGGATTGTGTTTTGCACGAGAACGTACGTACCATAATTTTAGCTACTACTTGTAGTCACTTGTGATTAGAATGACTAACAGAGTAGCGATCAAAAGCGTGAGAAGTTCGACATAATGTTGGTGGGTAAGCGTCATCGTCAGCGTCAGCGTCAGCGGTGGGTGACTGACAACTATAATCGACAACAGTGATTGCCAGCAGTAATCGAAATGAAGGATGAATTTTTTTTCATTTGAATGTTTTAAAGTCTTTGACATGAGTTCTCTGTTTAAAAGCCCAGTAAGTACCAGCTATTTCATATACGAGGAAAATTATACGCCATTGGAGTTCACAATACTGCTGCTACCAGATGTCGTGTCGTATAGTCAGTGATCTGTCATTTGTTGAGATCAAGACAAAAGGCCAATTTGCGATTTCTGACTTACTGAGGGTTGACTTGAGGACGACCGCTCGACATGGGTACAAGTGTTTGTACCCTTTGTCGATTCAACAAGATTTCGACAACTAGCTCATTTGACAATTTATTACTATACTAATTTTGTACGCTCGCCTATAGGAAACTGTTAGTAAGAGGACGAGAGAATAGACGTGGGTTTGCAGCGATATCCTGTGTGTTCAGTAGCCGGTGGCCGGCTTCGACGAGTTAGTGGGTGGTCATGAGGACTAGGTACAAAGCTGCAGTATCGCTAGGAACTGATATCTGTGTTCTAGGACGCAGCGAACATAAGAAAACCATTCTATCACAGTGGTAATAAACAGAGCTGCTGTCAATGGCTCTTTACGGCTTTATTTGCGCTCAGCTTCACCTCATAGATGTCGCTAAATCTAACTAAAAATTCAGTGACCCATCGATTTCTTCACTGAAAATCAATACTACAAATATAATTGTTTAACAAATACGTACATTTATGGCCTCGCCGAGCTAAGCTGGCTATAAATATACAAATAGGGCAATTTAATATTCATTTAGGGTTTTAAACTTTTTACCGTCCTAACCCAAGTCGCAAAAGTATATAGGGCCACAATTGCGTAGCGCACCTATGCACGTAACTTGTGTCCTAATCACGATGACGTATTCGTTATAGCGGTTGTATTAGGTGTGCGTACAATGTACCATATGTGATCGAGTGCCAAGCAGACTGTCATCATTCCTTGCACTACTTTATCAATGAGTATGCGTCTAGCAGAATTCGATCGAAAAGCATCACTTAGTTAGCTATTGACCAGTGTGCAATATGTACACACACGTTTACATCTGATGTATCATGGCTAATTTCTTGCGAGGAAAAAATAGCTATACGAAATCAATGTGAAAACATGATTTAGGCCGAGTGAGTGCATAAGTGTTTTGCGAATTTCTCGTATTTTTTCCGTAAAAACCAAATCGGTGAGTCGTGGTCAAGTGGTCGTTGGGATAAGATGAGAATTTTATTTATTTATTAATTATGTGTCATCCGACAGCTGAGTTAGTATCGAAAATAAATTTCAATAGAATATACAGTTCGTAGGAGGCTGATAATAGAAATTTGAGGGACTATCTATTATGTTCATTAAAGGAGGGGTACTATTATGTCATCTTGTGACTTGGGGGTTCGGGACAATGCACGACAAGAGCACGAAGTCTTATCCTAGTGTCATGGTGAATCGGTTTCTAACAATTAGTAGTTTGCTGATAAGATGTGATAGATTTCATTGCAAATTGTTTACAGACAAGTTCTCTTGGGAGGACTGCGAAGTCGAGTTATCAGAAAATACAACTTTTATCCTTGCTTGATTACAGATGATGAATTTTAGACGAGATGGACAGGGCGCATAAAGCGTTCGCTAAAAAACTTCCCGTTCAGCCATTCATTCGTTGAACGCATAATATAATGTAATTAAAGAAAAGCTTAAATTAAGCAGTTATTATCACAACTATTTTTGTAGCGCTATGGTGGAGGTAACGCTTCAGGAATCGCTAAGGCTCGCTCAGGATTCGTCCGTTGAGTCCGTCACTACGAATCTTCAGGACGTCTCAAAGCCGATGTCTGAAATCGACGAAATGCGCGCCGTTAGGCAGGAGCAAGATGCATTCATCGCCCGACTGACAGAGGATAACGCCCAGCTAACAGCTACCGTAGAAAATCTTGAGTCTGCATTATGTAGGCTGCAAACACGACTTAGGCGATATACTCAGGCAAGACTTGAAGATACTGATCTATTCTTATCGTCAACGTTTTTCGATTATTTATGGGACAGCTGTAAAAATGTTACACGTTCCCTAACGCTTTGCCAACAACTCGAGTCACTTAGTTAGCCTATTACAAGAATGAAAAGTTTCGGTTTTGATTATAAGCAGAAGTAATGCAAATATTGAGTTGGATAAGGCTAGTATATTTCCTCCAAAGTACGAAGCAATTCGCTACGGAAGCCAGGGCGAACATTTTGTTTTGAATGCGCTGTCTACCGTCCTATGAAAATCTAGACAAAATATAGTGCGTAGTATTCCTGGTCTTAATAACCTATGTACCATGCTTCTTACCGAGGACGCCATAGAAAGAGGAAGCGACACTGACCCGTGAGGCATTTGCTGAGATGGCGGAGGGTGAGGCGGTCGGAGCAAATGAGAGTATCGTGGTCCGATCGGAAGAGCAGGGCGACATAGATGCCGATGTTGAAAGCCTCGTTCTAGTAGAACATGCACACTGCACAGCTGATAATTGCTGGCGACAGAAGTACATGGAATCGCTGAGTCAGCTTCGTAGTGTGCTTGTGGAGCTGAGGAGCGAGCTCGAAGAGAAAAGTGTGCTTGAAGAAGCTACTCGGAGCCAAGAAACAAGGCACCAAACAAAAGTCCAACTAATCGAAGAAGTAATGTTTTCTACCATTTGATTTTTAAAGAAGTAGCTACCCTGTTTTGAGGTGATTTATCTTAGATTTATCTCTAAGTCATTATACGCTAGTGACGATCAACTTTACGTACTAAAATCGTTGTCTGCCTTCGAGGCGGTCGACGATTCTTAATTGTATCGCAACTTCGAAGTTTACATACTTTTTAGTTGTCGTTTTAAAATGATTTTGCTATTCTAGAGCATTCGTACACTCGATGTCGATGAACCGGAAGGGTCACCGAAGCGTTACTCCCGAACGGGATCCCGCAAACGAAGCTTTTTAGGTACGTTTGTATTAAAGGCTGGGATCATGTTAGCTTCTTATGGGAAAAGTTATTCAGTGTTCAAAGTCATTAAAAAGAAACTACAAAATAACACTTTCTAATTGAGTGTTTCATATATAACACAACGAAGAAATTATTATTATATTGAAATAGGTCTAAATTAGTACAACTTACGTTTACCTTCCATAAATCCAAGTTGTTCTAATTTGAACTCTATTTCAAGACTATGGCTTGACTATTACTGTGACATCTGTGAAAAACTACAATGTAAGTAGTCAAATTTTCTTCTATGTTTATTAAAGGGTCATCGCAGTGAAGTAAACTGTGCGGTGTGATTAAAAGTCGTCTAGAAAATTATCGTAGTTCGAAGTTCGTCCATCTCATCGGAACTGAAGTTTATTGGGACTAACATTTTAAGACAAAACATTTTGCGTTTGTTAGGGCTGGATTCATCTCTTCGTCGAATAAAACAATCCCGGACCTCCGGCTCGCAGACGTCCCTTTCGAAAACCCCACTTCTCAAAAAAATGATCAACCTGTTTAAAAAGAAGCCAACAAATTCCGCCTTCAGAAACAGATGATTGCGAAGACGCCGCAGGATTATTCGCTACTTATCAGTGATCAGGGGAGCTGTACTGTGATTTAATTGTACATTTCTATCCTGTAATTATTTCGGAATTATTTTACTCAAGCTGAAACGGTGTTAGCCGAAACGAGCAGCCGTTCAACAGGTAACCGTGCGTGAATGACGGCCTGAATATAATACAAATTATTCCTAGAAATTATTGCATAAATCAATAGAACTGAGAACAACGTATGTCGTATGAATTACATGATTGAAGATAAAGCTTACACGGCAGAACTTATTCTCTGACACTCGCTATTCATTAGTTCGGTATATCTCTGAATGTTATTAATTTTCGCCAACAGAGGTTTTTACGAAATGTACCAGGAAATTTTCGAAAATTTGCTTAAAAATGGTCTACTGAGATTTACCAGTTTTGTCGTTGTTTCTCAGAGGTAAAATCCCGAATGCCAGTTGAGTTTCAAATAGTCACTCTCATACCTTAGGCTCCTATAACAAATAGCAATACAGCAGATCTAGTTCCCAGTTGTATTAGCGTTAAATACTGGATTTGCCTTTCCAGGACTAAGTCCAGTATATTCAATATACATGCAGGAAAAGGTCGCGTTGTGTTTCCAATAGACACTTGTTCTGAGCCTTCGGTCCATGTTTTGACGAACCTTCGATTGAACTAGCCATCTTGTAGCATAGATACGCCAACGTTAGTCTCTCTCGTATTGACCGCTGACAAGAAAGCAACTTACCAGTGACAAGCTAACGAGTAGATCTGACGGACCAGTTAAAGACGTGATCAAATTTAGATTATAGCATAATTATCTAACGTAATGGAGACACTTAGAGCACACAGATATACACGATACTCATCTTAAAAAATGGGTATAATAGAGTTCTGCCTATACTGTTAAAAAAAAATAGATCGCTGGCCACAAGCTGTCAATCAATGGCGCCCCCGATCGAGCTTATTAGTTATGCATGACTTAATAATTAACCTGTTCCATATCAATACATATGTAAATTGTGATAAATAAGTATCATAAAAACTTAGTACTGATGGATTTCTAACTGGAATGACTGATACGCTTACTCACATAACTGGTCGGCGATCCTTTTCGTACGAACATGAATTTGTCTCATAGAGGATTCCACGTACTTGAACATTGTCACTGGGACGTTCGTATGGTAATTCGTGGGTTTTACTCACTATATCGCTGAAAAGTCGCCCGACGCATACCCAGTTTGTGGCACATGCTGCATCCATTCATACCCATTAAGCAGGGTTATGGTGTAAGGTGATGTGTTTCACGCAGCCTTGGAGAGTTTTCAATCAAGTTTCGTTTTTAGTTAATAGTTTAATCACATCTTATATATTAAAAGGTATGATCTGGTAGTGGTATAGCAACCCTTCAGCGGTCCATTTCGAAAGCTGTGCGCTCAACGTGATCACCGCTATCTCAGAATCGAACAGCTTACTCATAGAATTAACTGATCGGTTTTTGGAAAATTCTATGATTGGTAGGTGGATGCGAAAGAGAGTAGGTTAAGGGTCCGCGCTCTTTGCTCCATGAGCCGAAGCTAGCAGTTCTTTGATTCGATGCCCGGGTCAGAGGTCCTGTTGTCTAGACCAAATGTCGAGTGTTTTTGCTCCTTGCAAAGGTAGTAGCGAGTTGAGCTCAAAACTTAGCTATTCTAAAGTTCTAAAAGAACTGTCGCGTTAGGAACTGGATTGCAGTTCCGATTCCTGTTAGTCTAGCTCCTGTAAATGTTAAAAATATGTGTCTTTACAGGTTCGACACGTTTTTCAATGTATATTTTCAGTGTAAGCCAATTATATAGTTAGCATGCGTCGACCACCCTCACAACAAAGTATCATCAATACGATACGCCGTAAATTTTTGACATTAGTGGTACAGTTTCCAAAAGGCTATCGCTGTCTATTCCGAGACGTGCCTTTCTTTGTCTGTAAAGCACCCAAGCGTCTTATTGTAGACGTCATGGCCATGGCCTAGCGATATATAGATAGTTGCAGTATTTTCAAAAAAGGGCTTACCACCATTTAGAAGACTTAATCTTAATTTTCCCTGAAATCTTGATTGCGCAATCATTGTGAGATGTTGCTCTTCGAGACTGCCACTGGGTATGCCCTCTGCTATCTTCCTGTCCTTCCTAGTGATGCTGACGGCCGGGTCGTTCTATTGAACGATCGACCGGACTGAGGGTAGCACCAAATATTTTCATAGGCGATAATCCAGACGGTTGGATTTCGAAAAAGCTTACAAGGTACCGAACAAACAAAGGTACCAACAATGACCGGGTAAATTATCCTAAATAAATTCTTTAATGCCAGGATTCATTGGAGGTTAGGTTCGAGTACCTTCATTACTGTTTAGTTTAATAATGACCCGAAGGCTATGGACGTCTACATAAGTAGTTGTCTTGAAGAGGCAAGCGCTAGGTGAATGATCGTCTACTAAGAAAACCGAAAATGGGGCGAGGTTTCTATTCTGTTTCAATTAGTAGGATATCTTCATTTTGTAACGCTGCTGTCTTTTCCCAATAAAATGGGTACTTTTAAGAAGAGAGAATCACTGCGTGAGTGCGTCGGTCACGCATACATCTTCATCTTTGTTTGATATGAAAGGCGCGAGTGGCAAATTCTACGACAAAGTGTGCCATCTTAAGCTCGGTGTAATTGAAAGTGCGAGCCCGCCAAGCTGTTACAGTGAGCATCCGTAGTTGTTAAAGGATAAGCTTCGTAGTTCGTTAATTTTTTTTTCAAAATTGCGTTTTCGCACTGTGTCACTAATTGGTTGTCTAGCGGGTTTGCCTGCTTATCTGAAAGGCTCAATGTCGGTCTGTTAACCCTTGGGCTAAAATCAGCCGCGCGGGAAGTCGGGTCCGTGACACCATCTCACGGATCTTTTCATTGTTCCTTGACTTGCCGTTCCTACTTTAGTCTGCATTCTTTGTCAAGAAGAGGTATGAGGTGTCCAGCATGGGCCTGAGAGCTAGGTGAAGGTGAAATGGGGACGCGTCACTCGTATCTTGGAAAACAGTAGGCTCCGTATATTGCACCCAGAGTGTGGACAACCGAGATATACTCTATATTGAAACCGTCGCGCCTGCAATATCCGTCAGGTGCTCTACGGCCACCGGAACTGCAAAGTCGAAGCCTCACCCAAAAGTAATTTCAATCACAATGATAGAGTTGCATCGATGCGAAAGCTGTCAACTATAGGTCTTTGCAGCTAGCTCCTGCTGGTTTCAGGGAACAAGGGTTCTACGGTAGAACCGGCGTGTCGTATTATTGGCGTGAGATTGCTCGAGATGGCGTGACGCTCGTTGTTTTAAATTAAGCATTATGGTTATGGGTCGAAAAATTTCAGAGTGAATACACACGGGCGACCGAAGCACGTTGGGATGCGACATTAAGAAGAACTCGTTGACTCGTTTCAGTATATGTTGCTATCACAGACATTAAGCTGAAAGATAACAAGTTAACGCTTATATGTATACTTAATAGAAAAACCGACTGTTTCAATACCAGCTAAAGTGGGCTTCAACTGTAGCTCATGAAAGCACATCAGATGTTCGTTTTCTAAAGCAGAGAACACATATCCACGGATACAGTAGCGCAGGTAAAGGTAAAATCAATAATTGTATGAATGCAATGAAGACACGCAAATTGGCCGTACGGACCTCGGTTTTCACTTTATTAATTCGGTAAAATAATTTCCCTTCACACGGAACGCCTTCAAGTCATCTCGGTTTTGTAGTACCGGAAGTTTCATTATGGATAGGCTTTGCCTCATCTTGTTGACAGCTGCAGTTACGCTATTTTTTGTTTCGTTGCGGAAAAACTCAGTAAGCAATTCCTGCATCGAACGCAACAACTTGACTCATGACGGGCTTGTCAATTTGTCACACAATCAAACTTAACTCCACCAGGAAATTGCTGTTATAGCCCTTCAATAATTTCCAGAATTCCGTTGAACTTGAACAAAGAACATTCAACTCTAATAATACGTTTCGACCGTTTACAGCCGTTATATTCGCTTTGACTGGTTGTTAGCCCGTGGTGAGGCTATGAACGTTATGAGCTTCTACTCGTGAATAGAACCAATCATTTGAGAATAGTAAAAATAATTACTTACATTTGTTTGGTGAACGAAGCTATCCACAGAATGTTTCTGTTCCGATAAAAAAAGCCGCTATTATTTATACAATTGTCACGTTTGTTTTTATTTATTCAGGTAAAATGAAATTTAAGCTTCATCATAGCAATCATCGATTAAGTCTATGCATAGAGCTCCTGTTTGAGTAGGTGTTTTTTTTCTTTTATAATGTAAAAGTGAAAAGTGGCTTGACTTAACCTGGCCAAATTGAAATCAGCTTCTTATCTAATTCGTTTCTGTTGTCATCTACGTGTTGCTTCCACCTTTTCTGAACCTCAACCAGATAGACTTGTCGTATAATGTCAATTTCGTAACAGACAATTTTCTGCGCGCTTTTCGCTCCCCAGGGATTTTTCAGTAGCAGTAAGTTACCGCCGCCGAAAAATGCCGTGAAGGGCAAGTTGAATTTCGTGCAGTTACTGGTAATCTGCGCCCTATTCTGCGTTCATATGTTCTATCCTTGTCTATAATGTTCTATTCCGTAATTATTGATCTTGTGACCTTATTTCGACGTTATTGCGTTCTGGGCATCTCTATTAGGTTGCTATGTAAAGTAATGGTCGCTTTCACTCATTGCTTCCTTTTCAATTTTCGTATGTCGACTGCTAAGTTTTATACACTACTTCGTAGAGAACTTTTTCTTCGCATAACAAATATCTAAACTTGAATCCGGTATCCTAAACGAATATGATTTTTTTGATATAATTTTCGATAGTTCCTCTTAGTTCGTCACAGAAATCTGTCTTAGTAAGTTAATAAACAACGATCATGTAGATGGTGAAACTGACCACGCACTCCAACGGGACTGCCCTTTGAAGCAAGATAATTATTACATAAGCCAATTGATGGATTGTTTCTGCGGTTTTTTAGAACTACCAAAAAATTAGCGTCACAGATCCTGTTATTTTTCGGCCGACATTTTACGAAGTCCACAGTTGGGACGACTTTTTGGATCCGAATAACACAATCACTCCATATAGAAAATGGTCAACATTTGAACATCAGGAGACGAGAAATTGTAATAGGAAAAAAAAAATAGGGGAATTCGTTGATGCATCAGTGAAGTACATCAGAACGCTTCGGTACAATTTGATGTACTCATGTGATTGAGTCACGTACGTAGACACTCACGTTGTAGAGGTGGTCTTTCTTTTTCAGTTGGTGTTCTACGGTTCGTTTCGAATCATGACCTTTGTGACGAGAACCTCATACCTTGCGTCGAATTTCTAAAGATATTTACAATTTTTCTTTCACAATCAGAGAAGCAATCTTTACGGAATTCGGTCTGATTTTCTTCATACGTCCACTGGGCTACAGTTATGGG